AACAGGAGGGGGAAGAGGGAGGTGATGTGAGGGGGAAGCAATGGGATCGACCTGGCTGCCTTGTTGGTGTCTTACATGTGCTACTCACTCACAGGGGGGTGGCCATGCAGGGGTGGGGAACTCACCCCTTGCCAGCCCTGCTGCTGCTTTGGAGGAGGAAAACCCAAGCTGCCTGCTCTTGCCAGAGTTTAAGGAGGTTGTAGTGCATGGAAGGAGACCTGCCACAGGGGCTGTGAACATGTGTTGGGGTAAGTGTTGCTCCTGAGTCCTAATCTGAAGAGGTGCAGCAGAGATATATAGAACTGTATGTGTCTGTTAGATATTGTGAGGAAGGAAGGAAGGAAGGAAGGAAGGAAGGAAGGAGGGAGGGAGGGGGAGAGGGAGGAAGGAAGGAAGGAAGGAAGGAGTTTTCTTGAAATTTATAAATCATCATATTCTTTTTCTCTCTTTGGGGAAAGGGGTTAGGTGCCTCTGTGGCCAGGGAAGTAGGAGTAGTATAATAGAGCCAGTGTCTTGTATAGGTGGAGGCTCTAAGCCTCAGGCTGACTCGAATCCAGTGATGTTTCCACAAACAAACTAGGTTTGGTCTCAGACATATAAAGCATATTTTCAAGTTGATACTAGACATCTCTCTGTCCTCCCCCTTCTCTCCCCGGCCACCCCCCAGCTCCCGCACACGTCTTCTCCCTTCTGCCAAAGAGCAGACGCGAGGCTGATGGATAAGGGTCCATCTTCGGGAGGAAATTCCCCACTCTCCATCTATTTCTGCCCTGCTGAAGGCAACATGAGGAAACCATCTGGTCCGCGAGGTTGCCAAAAAAAAAAAAAAAGCGGGGCTCGGGATGAAATAACTGTTTGGGTTGCTTCCCTCCCCCCCACCTCCAACAATTCCTGCCCTCTCCTCTTGTTCCAAAATGAATACCCTCCCCAAGGGAAAACGCTGTTTCAGCTCCCCCAAATATCGGCAGCAGCGAAGGGGCCGCTGCCCGGAGCAGGAGCTCGCTGAGAAAACGGCCGAGGCTGCAGAGCCGCCTTTCAGCTGCCCGGATTGCGCGGTTGTTCCTGGCGATGGGGAAGAGAAGGGAGAAGAGCTCTCCCTCCTCTCCGGCCTGGCTCCGAGGACCCAAGACTGAGAAGCGGGGAGCGGGATGCGATGCTCCGGCCAAAGTGATTTCCGGCCTTGGCTGAACGAGTTTCCAGCCCCCGCCATATTTGGTGAAAGCTTAGAGGACTTGGTCCTCGGCACTTCTACTAAGACGGTGGCGTAGAGGGATGGAGCCCGGCCAGAAATGCTCAGAAGGACCTTGGATTGCATACCGAAGATGCATGTCACTTGAGAATCTCTAAGAACATGTTTTATCTCTCCCTGGAGAGATAGGAATATTGCTTCCTCTCCTGACGGAAAAAGAGTGCTCCTAGGCAGCCATTTCCTGCTTTTGAATGGCTCTAATGAATCCTATCTAGGTTGTTTCAAGGTTCATTTGTGAATCCAAGCCAAGGAGTGGGAAATAGATGAAGTCTTTTGAGAGAAACGAGATGGCTATTTTGGCAGCACCAAATTGATTTATTTCTTGGCTGAACTTACATCCCATCTTTCCTTCAGGAGCAATTTGCACAGACCTCGCTCTTCCATTTTCCTCACAACATTCTGGGTGCCAAGATGGTGTAAAAGAAAGCAACTGGGGAAAACCACTTAGCAAGCTTCCATGGCTCTGGGTGGGCTTCGTTTGGCTTTAGGTCCCCTTTGTGAAGCAGTGACGCCCAGAAAATGTGCCTTCCTTGTCATTCACCTGCTTGAGGCCCAGAAAATGTGCCTTCCTGGTCATCGCCGTTTGATGGAACGTCCTCTTCTTGTACATTCAGATTGCCATCTTTTTGTGAAGATCTAGCTTTTCCTCCAGGCACTTGGGCTAGGCAATTAATGGAACCCAGCAAGATTGTGTGGTGTATGTAGATGAGGTTTATGTTGCAGCAGGTTGACATTTTTTTAAAAAACCATTTTTTTGGTATGATGCTTTTAGTCCTTTCCTCGTGGGTTCCAGTGGTAGATGGACAGCCATTTTTATTTGCTGAATAAATAAAGTAAGACATCTCTGTGTCAGTCCAACAATGTCTGAAGAGGTTGCATTTTACTATAGGCATTTCTGCCCTGCTTGGCCAAGTAATCAGAGGAAATTGATTGGAAACATCACTGTAGAATCACTAGTCAAGCACTAAGAAATCTGGGAAGGGCACTTAAATTATTCTTGAAATAATGTGAAAACTTGACTTACTCTCCAGCTCTATAAAAGTACATAAGAGGTAGCGCCAAACCTTAGGAACATCTGTCAGAAGCAATTCCTACATAAAGTAGGGATGCATTTAATACTCTTGACATTTTTACATTAACTCATTAAATATCTGTCTTGATCCAGTTCAACCATGACCTGGATGTTACATGCTCTTTTCTTGTATGCAGGAAATGCAGGCATCCTCTCAGTGACAAGGGAATGAAAATGCCAGGCATGTAAGATTGATATTTAGATGTAAATGATTAGAAGCAAAGTAATTCTTTTCCACAAAGGAATTCAATTCAAACCTTTATCGTCAACACACATGTGTACAATGAGATTGGCTTAGGCTCCCTTAGTGCACCCTCACAACACAAATACATCTCAATAACTCAGCGAAAGAAAGAAAATCCCTAACCCAGTAAATCATACTAACAAACACACAATCCTCTATACATATATGTGCATAACATGACATTATATTATATTACACCAGTGTGAACATGTTGCACATTGAGCCAGCCTGCAAGTCTATCATACTACATAGTTATGTTGCATTCAGGAGTCTGACAGCTCACGGATAAAAGCTGTTCTTTAACCTGTTAAATGGCAATGTCTGTGGAGATTGTCAGTCACCCAGGTCATGGTTGTTTCAAGAGACAACTGGACTTTCTGGTTTTTCTTTGAAGATGTTTGGCTTTTCATCCAAGAAGCTTCTTCAGCTTGTTACATATAATTGCCGTTTAGCAACTGTTAAATGGCAATTATATTGTAATCTAATGATTATATTAAAAGTTAACTTTAGATACCTAGGGACATTTTTCAAGCACCCACGAAGTGGGAAAGTTGGATGCTATCTCATCAGTCCCATTTCTGTATGGGCAACTGCGCTCTTCAGGGTCAAGCTATAGCTTTTCTAGAGGCATTCTACATTCAGATCCATTCATCTGGTTTTTTTTTCTTCTCTCTCTCTCATTCTTACCAAGCGTTTTTCCTAGTTCATCCAGTCATATAATACATTCAAAACATAAGATTTTTGTTACAGTGGCCATTGTTTCAAAGGAGCAGTCAGCTTTCCCCCCCCAGTACCGATTGGTTCTTTTTATAATCCATATAATCCTAATATTTATCTTCAAATCCATAATTAGGGAAATCATTGCTTTAACTATTCTATTTATTGTCATAGACACTGCCTTAACATTTAACATTTTATCTAAGCTTGACATTGCCTCCTATATTGTTCGTTGTTGCCTATGCTTGAGCCCAAGAAAATAAATCTAACACTTATACTTCTTTACCATCAATTCTCAATATCAAACATGCTGGTTTGCATTATTTTTGTCTTGTTAAATTTGTAATATTTTCAGATCCTATTTTCACATTCTAGCTTTACCTTCTTGGTGAGTTTTTGTAAATCTTTATTTTTAATTAATAGTGTGAAATAATGTAGTCTATAGTCACTTTCAAGCTCTGGTTGATTATCTCACCCAAGGCAAAAATGACCTTGCTCAATTACTGTTTCTTACTTTGGACACATTATGCAAAGACTAGTTCTCTGAAGAAAGCTGTAATGGTGGGAAAGGCAGAAGGAAAAAGAAGTGACCGATCAGCAGCTGATGGTTGGACTCAAATACAGTGGCCATGGTTGTACCATTGGAAGACCAAGTGTGGGGCAAATCATCTGTGTGGTTAAAATCTATCCTGTGTGGTTACTATTTTCCTACTTTCTGTAATTTTCTAAATTTAATACATATTTCATTATCAGTTAATTCACAGATGATTGTTCCACAACCTAAACATAGAAGCATCTTGTCTAACTGCATTTACCATTTTTATATTCTTTCTCCTATTGTGTCATCAATTTGATTGGAAATTGTCCACCGGATGTTATTCAATGTATGCATTTATGTTGCTTGAAGCAAGTGTTAAGAATTAACAATTTTCTTCACAAAATTCTATTGAGCAATCTCTAGCAGTATTTCATTTACCCAATCCAAATCCATTTTTTAATTTGAGGTTCCTCTACTTCTAAAGTTTAGCATTCCAATAAACTATTAGTGGAACCATATCCTTTGTATTTGTATTTATGAGCTCTTGCAATTTGTCATATAATTTTTCATTGTCGTACAACCATTGAGTTTGTAACCTTGATATTTACTAGATATCAAGTAAGTATCTAGTTACTTGATAGGATTAGTTTTGATAGTATAGGTGGTCCTTGACTTATAACCATTAGTAACTACAAAGTTATGACAATGCTGAAAAAAGTGACTTATGACCAGTTTTCACACTTACGACCATCACAGTGTAGGGTTTTTATATTCATGAATGAAGGCAAATTATAAATTATTAATATTATTATTAGCAATAGCACTTAGACTTATATACCACTTCACAGTGCTTTATAGCCCTCTCTAAGCACTTTACAGAGTCAGCATATTGCCCCCAACAATCTGGGTCTTCATTTTACCAACCTCAGAAGGATGGAAGGCTGAGTCAACCTGCAGCTGGTGAGATTCGATATGCCAAATTGCAGGCAGCCGGCAGGCAGCAGAAGTAGCCTGAAGTAACTGCATTTTAACTGCTGCGCCACCACAGCTGTTGTTGTTATTTTTAATTATTTATACTCTTAATTTAATGTCCTTTTTTCATTACAGCAATTTTCCAGCCTGCTACAGGCAGCCCTCGAATTAAAACTATTTGATTAGTGACTGTTTAAAATTTCAACGGCACTGAAATAAGTGACATATGACCATTTTTCACACTTACTACTGCTACGGCATCCCCATGGTCCCATGATAAAAATGCGGGCACTTAGCAACTGGCATGTATTTATGACAGTTGCCCTGTCCTGCGGTCATGGGATCATTTGCCACCTTCCCAGCCGGCTTTTGACAAGCAAAGTCAATGGGGGAAGCTGGATTTACTTCAGGGATTCACTTAACAATTGTGGCAAAAGGGTAGCCAAATGGGGCAAAACTCAGTTCACAACTGCCTTGCTTAACTTAGCAATAGCATTTAGACTTATATACTGCTTCACAGTGCTTTACAGCCCTCTCTAAGCGGTCAACAATGGAAATGGTGGGCTCGATTGTGGTCATAAGTCAAAGACTACCTATAAATCCCCTGGGGTCTCTTTCTTTTCACTAACTGTATGGAATCTCTTTCAGACTTATATTTTATTCTGCATGAAAACCCAGAAAGTATATGCAAAAAGAGTATATATATGGCAAACAGTGAACAAACATGGTGTTAGGAAGTCTTTATTTAAAACAAAGAAAATATCCTTAATGCCCTGATAATTCTGCTTTTTCCCCTTTGTTGGTTTTTTCTTCCCCTCCCCTTTTCAATTTTTCCATAGATAATTTTCTGCTTACCTTAGAATAGGCCTCTCCTACTGCTTTTGCCAGACCACTGGTTCCTGCAGCCTTAAATCATCCTTTTAGGTTTTTTTTTTTTTTTAAGTTTTGGTTCCATGACTCACTGGGGAGGTGAAAAACTGGGAAAGATAGTTAAACATGGAAATTCATAGGAAAAGACAGTGAAACTACAGTATGACCTCAGCATTTAATGTTAATGTGGTTTCAGGTTTTCACTTCTTTGCTCTGCATAAAGTTAATTCTTTTGGATGAAATGTATGCATTTATATTTCCTATGTAACATCTGTATAAACAGGACTCCTTAAGAACTGCTTAGAGGTTTTATTTTGGTTGCTCATGCCTATATTAAACTTTTATCCTTCGCAAAATTTACTTCTGGATCTCTCTGCCATTCTAGAATCATAACAATGGCACTGGAGAGTAATAATAATCTTTAATATTATTAAACAACAACATCTGCCTATCACAAGTCCTTGGGAAGGACTCAATAGGACACAAATGCCAAATCTAGTCTAAAACTCTGGCTCTGTGCAATGAACCATAATAATTTATTAAATGTGTATGCAGCCTGACTCTCGGCAACTTTGAGAATCTCACAACAAATAAAATCAATAAAAAATAAAATGAAAAATATAAATACCATGAAGCAAGGGGATCTATCTCTCCAAAGGTCTGGATGAAGGACCAGGTCTTTATGACTCTTCTAAACAACAGCAAAATGGGAACATCCAGATCTTGGGAGACCTTTTGCCAGATTTTTCAAACCTGATGTCACCAGGTATGCTATTAATTCTCAGATTTATATCTACAACACATCTGGGAAGACCTCACATTAATATAGATTATTTTTAAGTAATCAATTTATATTGGGCTCTAAATGTATTTATTTTCAGATTACAAAGTGACCTGGTGGTCCCTCATCCATTTGAGATATGCCTAGAGTCCTCCAGTTTGAGTGAAAGTCTATCTCCCTTCAGATTTTATGAAACATAAATGCATCTTAGACTATGTGAGTGAGAAATTTTACAACAGGGCTGGGGGGGGGATATTTGTAAAAAAAAAAAAATCAACAGCTCTGAAGCGTATCAGGTTTATTTAGTAGCATAGATTCAGGTAAGTTCATCATTAGTTAACCACATCGTCTTCAAAATGCCCTAGCAACCCAATGTTCTCTGCATCTACTAGATTCTGGCTTTGTCTAATCCTGAATACATGATTTACATAGCGTTATCTTACTGCTCTTTACTGTAAAACACCTGTTCTCTGCAAAACAATTGAAATGGTGAAAAGACTTGGGGCAATGGATCATTATGCCAACGGTTCTTTCTATTGCCATAGTAAAGGTTGGGTTATACTAAAGTTTGTTAGTGAGGAAAAACTCAAAGTCCATATGGTATAAAAATAAACAAAATTTCCAAGCTATTATGGAAGTGAACACTCTTCAAATCGAAGTTTAAAGAAGCAGCATAGCCTCAAACCACAACTTTCTACCCTGCAGATTGGTTTCTACTGGCACATTGGCCTCTGTTAGTGGTTTGAGCTCATGCTTTTCTTCCTGGTGTTCTAATTGTGGTGTGTGTCAGAGAGATGGGGGGGGGGGGGGGGGGGGAGGGGGGGGGGGGGGGGGGAGAATTTCAGCTCTCTTGGATTCTATGAATGACATTAGCAGTGTGGCATATTCTCCAGATCACCATTCAAAGCTAATGTTAGAAAGTTCTCACTGTCAAACTTTCTGAGTTTCAATGTTTCAGTTTCTCAATTTTCAGGAAGTATCAATGATTTTGGAATGAACTTTCTATTCTTTTACTTTCTATAACAGATATGCAAATGTCCTGTTTTCAGATAGGCTGGAGTCTGACTGTTTTAGACAGTCAATGCTCCCTGGAGATTTTAGACTTAATATGTCCATTGAACATTCAGTCAGGTAAACCTTGATATAAATATTTGTGAATTGGTCGCAAGTATTGGTTGAGATGAAAATGGAGAGTAAGGAAGTATAAATTAAACCTGCTATTAAATTATTATGTTTAATATATTATTATGTTTAATATATTTTAATAATCATCTCAAATAATCTTAACTGAAATGTTAAAATAGCAAGTTGCTATGAAAGAGATGAAGAGGGACATTATAGATTACTATAAGTAAATGTATTTTATAATATTATCATAAGAACTTATTCCCTTTTCCGCAAGCCATTTTCTAAAACAAGTGTCCCCAAATTCCTCAGCTGATTGACCCCTTCATAAATTTCAGATTGTTCATCAACCCCCAAACATTTATCATATGAAAATAATGTAATGAATACTTATTTAACTAATTGTACTACAAATAACAACAACAATAATAGTTCTATTTATCCTTAGGGGTTGATATTGATCACTTTGGAGAGTCATGGTATATAATATAATGGAATTCTTCTATCCCTTTTGCCGATATATGTCAATATATTTGAAAATAACTCTGTAGTTATCAGGTACGAAAAACCAGGTCCACACATGAAAATGCTAATTAACTGATTTATTTACAGGAGCCATGGTGGCAAAGTGGTTAAAATGGAGTATTGCAGTCTAACTCTTCTAACTAACAGGAGTTTGATCCTGAATGGCTCAAGGTTGACTCAGCCTTCTATCCTCCTGAGGTCAATAAAATGAGGACCCAAATTGTTGGGGGCAATTTGCTGATGTTGTAAAACTCAAGAGAGTGCTTTAAAGTACTGTGGAATGATATATAGGTCTTGTGCTATTACTAAAGACTATGCACAGGATTTTTCTCAGTCTATGGTTAGCACCTGCACAGAATTAGATAAGTGTTAGCAGTGTTCAGGAAGGGGTGGTGGACTTAGTTCTTTGTGGCTATGTAATAATTCCAAACATACCTTTTTTAACTCCTTCCCCTAGCTCTGCCAGTCTCTCTCCTATAGTAGTTTGGACTTATTGTTGCTCAAAAGCCTTTCTGTTCTCACAGTTTTTATTGCTTGCCTTCTCTTACCACCGTTCAATGTATTACATGCTTATTTCAACCATTAAGACAAGCTTTTGGAAAGGTTGGCTGAGCACGTCCAACTATGCACACATGCTATGGGTTTTTTTGGGATGTTAGCTTTAAGACTAACAATACTATGAGATATATTTTAATAAGAAGTGGTATACAAATGTTTTCAATAAATAAATAAATATTAGAAAAATATGAACACATGTCAATGCTTTTATTTTCTCAATTCAAATTCCATAACATTACATAATAATATAGTGATTATGAATTTAAATGCTATACTACTAGGTAGAAAAGGCAAGTGATGATTTAAAAATATGGTCGTGACATTTTGAATTTACCCCTGGCATTTTCTATAGAAATTCAATGTTTTGAACTGAAGGAGATATTCAGTTTCTACAGTCAGTTTTAGTCTTTACTGGCAAATATTTATTTTATTAGTTTCAATTTTCTGTTGAGAGTATTTTTCCTCAAGGATTCATTTATTGTAATAGATTGAAATACCTTTTTTCATTTCCTGTAGTATATAACATTTATGTTAATAATTTTCCTGCATAATTGAAAATCATTTGAAGTTTTTTGAGAACAAAAAAGGTGCTGTTTTTTTCTTCTTCAAGGAGCAGAGAATCTAATTTTACACATGATGGGACTGCAGGACCAGGACAAACAATAGGAGAAATAAAATGAGAAAGGACCAACGATAAAGCACATTAGGTAAATTTCATTCATCCTTTCAAAGCAAAAATATCACTGTGTAATTTAGGTGACTGCTTCTTCACAGAAGAGGTAATATTAATAATAATAATATTTGTGTGCTGAACACACACAAAGAACAATGACATATTTTAAACAATTTTTGTATTTTAAAAGCTAGAAAAATATATAACTCTTCTATAGGTTTATTTAAATATTTAATTGTTCTTTTTCGTGAAGTGTTTTTTGAATCTCTAAATTATTGTTAACAAATAGCAATTATTTACAAAATGCATAAAATACTGCATGTTCTATCATAAAACAGCATACAAATCTATGTCAAAACTATGTCTCAAATACTTTATTATGCCAATCAAAAAGTTGAAGAAAGTTCAAAGCAGAACCAGGATAATGTACAAGAACCATAGCCAAATGCCAATAATATATGTGAATTTCCTTAGCCATGTGAATGGCTAAGATTATTGGTAAATCCAAAAGTTTACTTTCTCAGTGTCTCTGATAATGGAACAGTTTATAAACTTGAGAAATAAATATATCAATCCATCCATCCATTACATTTTTCCTACAAAGACTCATACCTAATATGAGTAGTAGAACACTAAGCCATAGTTTCAATTGATGTTCTCTCCAGTATTGTCCAAAGCATATTGATTCTTAATATGGAGAGAGATGTAACTTTAGTGAAGATTTTTTAATAACCTGGTACTGTAGTTCCTAATCAAGCCCTGTGAGTTCCATTGAGGAACAAACCCTCCTACCACCCACCACCCAAAATGCCACTGATGCAGATGTCACCTAAACCAGCATAGCTTTCACTGTCATACTCATACTTTGACTATGAATAAAGTCTGGTCATGCAGGGTGGGATTGAACAAACATAGTCAACGAGCTGTCAAACTTCAGAAAAATCTCCTAACACCGTAGGGCTTGGTCAATTTGTAATAGGACTTGAGTGAAGAGATGTGTCACTATTAACATATATGGAATCATTTCATTCCAGGAAGCCATGGGTTTGTACTTGTTGACAAGAGGCTTCTATAAATAGGATTAAGCATACCAGTAAATAAATTACTCTGGGCACGTCAACTAGGCCTTTCAGTTTTATTACACTGGAAATAATATCTATGTACAAATGATCTGCATAGATTGCATTGTTAAATGAAAGGGGTGTGGTGCTGCATTTTGCTACTGAATTGTAATTTTTAATGACATAGGAGTAGGTGAAGGTGAAGGTGTTGCATAAATAATAAGCAAATGGAACATTTAAAAAAGCAATTCATCCGCATTTTTAAATAAATGTATTGCTGTTCAGAGATCTAGGTAATAGTCAGCAATCTTTTCCTCTCAGATTCAGTAATAAGGCTTAATCTGTAAAAATCTTAAGCAAAATATTCAAAATTCTTTCTTCTGTCCCTTTTCTTTGTCTTTTTCCAACTGATACTTAACATTCCCTAGCTTCTCAGTCCTTATTAAACTTTTAAATTAAATCTTGAGGGTGGAGCTGGCGTCGCGATGATACGGCATGCAATCTTGGAGGTCTGAGATCGCTGCTGATATCTTTGCTCCTGGACGGTCCTATCAGATCTAAACTGTCCCGAAGAGACAGTGAAAGTGAAGAGCGCATCCTGTTGATCCCAGGGATACCGCAAAGTCCCTGGTAGATCCGAGAGAAGCTCTTCTTGCCAGCGGCAAAGAGGCAGCCATTAAAGCTGCTGAAGTTGGGACAGCTCCGAAACGGAAGAGAACAGAAAGAGAGAGTGTGCGGTTTGGTGAGAACTTTTTTTTTATTCTAAGATCTGAAAGGACACCCTAAGGAAAAGAAAGAATCTGTAAAAGTTTTGACAGAAGTGATTAAGTGGCTATTTTAAACAGGAATGTCAAAGTAATGTTTGTTTGTTTTTCTCATTGCTGGATTTTCTATACATGATCTTGTATTTTGAAACTGGACTGGTTTTTTCTTTTACCTCTATTTTTTTTTCTCCTTTTTGATTTTGTAATATTTTAGGCTAGAGGCTCCCTTTAGTTATTTCATTTTTTTAAAATATCTTTTTCTTTTTTTAATTAATTCTTATTATATCCTGCTCAGAAAAGGAGGGGGAAAGTGAGAGCAAAGAAACTTTGTAACACTGCCAACTAGAGGCTTGAAAATATTCTATTTCCCTGTGACCAGACAAAGCTGAGAAAGAAAGAACTGAGACTCTTTTTCAAGGACATTGCTATTTGATAAGATAGAGGGAAGAGCATGGGAGAATATTATTGCAGGTGCTCTTCTGGGTTTCTATCAACAGCTGGAGTCTGGTGTTGAAACTTAGGGGGGGAAAGGTGATAAGTTTTTGGAGAAGAGAGCTATAATAAGAGCCTTGGATAATTAAACAAAGTGCAGTGTGCCCTTTTTACTTTTTCTAAGTTGTGCTATCCCTCCTCACCAGCTTTATTGTATTTCTTTTTATCTTTTTTTTTTGTAATAACTATATGGGTTTTTGGCTTTGTTGGAGCTTGTCTTTGTTTCTCTTTTTTTCTTTGGAAGTCCAATCTCTACGTTTGCTTTTTATTTTAAAGGGAAAGCCTTAAAAGCCTTTTTCCCCCTTTCCTGGTATTTTTGTTTTTTCATCTACCTTTCTGGTTTATTCTTATGTATTTTTTTTCTATTTGAGACCTTTCAATTGGATTAAGGTGTTGAAGAACCTGAATAATTTTTTCCTTTTCCTTTTTCCTTTTCTTTTTTTCCTTAAGCCTTTTTTTCATCTAACTATTGATTGGATTAAGGTATACAAGAACCTGAAGAAATTTTGTCCTCCCTTCTTTTTTCTTTTTTTAAATTATTATTATTGGGCTTCTTTTTTCTACTATTTTTATTTTGAACTATAATTGGTTACTTCACAATTGGATTAAGGTTTAGAAGAACCTGAAGATTTTGAATTGCTTAAAATGAGTAGGAAATTTACAGCTCCTGGTTCTTCAACTTCTACTTCTTCCTCTCCACCATCTGGAGGACAACGTTCAATATAGACAATGTTAAAGCAAGAAAAAGAACAAGAAAAAGTGACTCTGCAGATGATTATGCAAGGAATTCAAAATATTCAAGCAAGATCAGAGAATATTGAAAAGAGAATAGAGAACATCTAACAAAGAACAGAGAACATTGAACAAAGAACAGAGAACATTGAACAAAGAACAGGGAAAACTGATGAAAAAGTGGAGAACATCCAACAAATGATGTTGAAGTATGATGAGAGATTCCAAAAAATTGAAGAAGATAAACAAAGAGACAAGAAGATTGGAGATATTGATAATAGATTAACGGTGGTTGAACAAGATAAAAGTGGTATGTTGAGATGGGAGATGGATAGATCAGAATTCTATCTTAGATTCCAAAACGTAGAGGAAGAAAAAGGACAAAACTTAGCTGAGATAATGATAGAAATACGGGCTGAAGCTTTGGAAATAACTCAAGAGAAGATGATGGATCGAATAGATGAGGTTTATCGAGTTTTCACAAGATATGTGATGAGAAATAGCTTACCAAGAGAAGTTCACATTAGATTTACAAGGAAAGCCATTAAAACACAAATATTGCAAGTGGCAAAAGAGAAAACATTGAAATACAAAGACAAGGAGATTGTGGTCTTGAAACAAATACCCAGAAGAGTGAGAGACATGACAAGGGCGCCCACTATCACCTTTGTTGTTTGTGTTAACTTTGGAAGTGCTAAATCGAAATATTAGAGATGAAAAGAATATAAAAGGAATGAAAATCAAAAAGGAAGAGTTTAAGCTGCAAGCATTTGCAGATGATCTGGTTTTCATCTTAGAAGACCCTTTATAAACAGCATCAAAATTGATAGAAAAGATAGAGACATATGGAAAGGTGGCTGGTTTGAAAATAAATAAATATAAGACAAAGATCTTGACAAAGAATATGCTATTAAGACAAAAGGAAGAACTGGCAGACCTATTAAAAATTCAGGTCACGAATAAGATTAAGTACTTGGGGATATATTTGACAGCAAGATGTAGTACATTAAAAGAGAATAATTATATCAAACTTAAACAGCAGATAGCGCTAGATTTGGCGAAATGGGAAAATTTACAACTGTCACTAATAGGGAGAATTTCAACAATCAAGATGAATATATTACCCATAATTTTATATTTGTTTCAAACAATTCCAATTAGGCTTGGAAAAGACTACTTTGCAGATTTAAATAAAATTGTGTTGAAATATATATGGCAAGGTAAGAAAGCGAGAATAAAGTTAAAACTTTTGCAAGATGCTAGAATTAGAGGAGTATTTGGTTTGCCTAATTGGGAGTTGTACTACCAAGCTACAAATCTGATGTGGGTTAAGGAATGGATAACACTAAGAAATACTAGATTGTTGACATTAGAAGGACATGATTTGTTGTTGGGGTGGCATGCTTTTTTATGGTATAAAGGAACTAAAACACAGGGGTATTTTAGAAGACATTATATACAGGAGTCTCTGTGGTTAAACTGGGAGAAGATTAAAAGACAATGTTATTTGAAAATTCCAGTCTGGTTATCGACTATTGAAGCATTTTCTTATCCTATAATATACAAAAAGGAACAAACAGTTAGATATGGTGAAATACTGAATGAAAGGGGTGAATTCAAATCTATACAAAAACTAGAGGAACAAGGTATAACGATGAATTGGTTTTCATATGCGCAAATACATTCAAGGTATGATAAAGATTCTAAAACAGAAGGTTTCTATGATAAACTGACTGACTTAGATAAGATTTTGACAGGTACTGATGAAAAGGTGATTAAAAAATTGTATGGATATTTATCAGAAATTAAACTAGAAGAAGAACAAATTAAAGAAACTATGATTGCTTGGGGGAAGAATTTTGGATATGGGATTGATTTAAAGAAATGGCAAAAATTGTTGTCTCAAAATTATAAAATGACAATGTCAACAGCATATAAAGAAAATTTGTATAAGATGTTTTACAGGTGGCATTTCCCCCCAACAA